AAGCCCAAAGTTTATGCAATTTCTAATTTTGACATATATTCCCAAATTGTTCTACATAAAGTTTGCTCTACTTTATGCATGAATGTATGAGTGCCAGTTCCCATATATTTTTGAATGCTGGATTATCGAAGTATTTCATTTTTGCCAAAATGATAGTTTAAAAATAGTGTATATCTTTTGAATTTTTGTTTCTGTATCTTTAATTTTGGGTGAAATTTACATTTTTTTTGTTTATTAAACACTTGTTGTTTTTTTTTCCTGCCAACTGCTTATATCCTTTGTCCATTTTCCTATATTGTGGTGTTAATTTGTACAGTCAATTTCTGTATTATGGAAATCAGCTTGTCATATGGCTTTGCCATTTGGCTTTTATCTTTGTGGATTGTTCTTTTTGTTTTTATTTTTACTTTTTTTCAAGGTTTATTTATTTGAGAGAGAGAGAGAATGAGAGATAATGAGAATAGGGGAAGGGACAGAAGGAAAGGGCGAAGCAGATTCCCCACCAAGCAGGAAGCCCAGTGTGGGGCTTGATCCTGGGACTCTGAGATCATGACCAGAGCCAAAGGCAGACACTCAACTAAGCCACCAGGTGCCCCTAGAACTTATTTTGATGTAAGGAATAAGGAAAGCTATATAGTTTTCTCTTTCAAATAGCTAGCTAGTGTCCAACATTACTTACTAAATAATCTCTTTTCCTGATTGGAAATGATTGGAAATGTTGCCTTTTCATGTTCTAAATTCTCTTCTGAATAAGTGTCTATTTTTGATGATTCCCATCTGTTCAATTGATCATTTGACCTATCCCTTCTTTCGTACCAACTCCTTATTTTACTGGAGTTTTTATTTTTAAATGTAATGGAACTGGCTTCATTTATTACTCTGAAAATGTTAAAACTCACAATACACATTGCCAAATTACTTTCTAGAATTATTGTGTTAATTTACACCAGACACTTGTCAGCACTATTATCTTTTAGAAATTCTTTGCCAGTGTGATTGAAAGTGCTCATTTGTTTCTCTGATATTAATGAGTCGATTTGTGTGAAATGTCTTTATATTTTCCCCAAGTTTTCTACTGGCATTTATACTTTTTTTTAAAAAAAAGAATTATTTATTTATTTATTCATGAGAAACACACGGGGGCGGGGGGCAGAGACACAGGCAGAGGGAGAAGCAGGCTCCATGCAAGGAGCCCGAAGTGGGACTCGATCCCGGGACTCCAGGATCACACCCTGGGCTGCAGGCGGCGCTAAACCGCTGCACCACCTGGGCTGCCCGTGGCATTTATACTTTTTAATTGATATCATGAAATTTCATATATACCTATTAAAGTCTAACAATATATATGTACCTTTGATGTTAAAGACAAAAGTGCTTTGGCATATTTATTACCAACATATTTCTCAACTTCATATATACTCTTTAATCAGTATACTTTGTTATATTATATATCCAAAAATTTTGTTCAGTCTAGTCCAGCAATCTTTTCTGATTGCTCTTGTTCTTTAAAAAAAAAAATCCTCTCACTAAAGACCAGAGAATCATTCAATTGTTTTTACTCTTTATTTTTTTAAAAGATTAAAAAAATTTTTTTTATTTAGTCTCTACACATAATTGTGGGGCTCAAACTCATGACGCTGAGAACAAGAGTTGCATGCACTTCCAACCGAGCCAGCCAAGCACCCTTTATTTGTTTTTAAAAGCTTCTAGTTTGCATATTCTGGAAACTCAAAGTATTGCTATTTTAAATGTAGGGAAGTTATTATTTTATTTATTTTAAAGATTTTACTTATTTGACACAGCAGAAGTAGGGGGGAGCATCAGGCAGAGGCAGAGGGAGAAGCAGATCCTCGCTGATCAGGGAGCCCGATGTAGGACTTGATCCCAGGACTGCATGATCAGGACCCGAGCTGAAGGCAGACATTTAGCCACCCAGGGGCCCCAGGAAGTTATTATCTGAAATAAAATATAGAGAAGTAGAATGGGGCACCTGACTGGCTCAAGTCCATAGAGCATGTGACTCTTGATCTTGGGGTTATTAGAGTGAGCCCCATGTCAGTGTAGAAAAGTTGAATCATTTTTTAAAAATTTATTTAATTAATTTAATTAAATTAATTTATTTTTATTATTTGTGATTTTATTTATTTATTCATGAGAGACAGAGAGAGACAGAGACACAGGCAGAGGGAGAAGCAGATTCTGTGCAGGGAGCCCGATGCGGGACTCGATCCTTGGGCTCCAGGATCACACTCTGAGCCGAAGGCAGACACTAAACTGCTGAGCCACCCGGGCGTCCCAAAATGGAACATTTTTGTCACGAAGGCATATTGCTGTGGCGTAGAGTTTTCTCTACATTTATATGATTGCACATTTAGGATTTGAGGATTTATAGTTATTTTTATGATTTAGAATAATTTTAAAACTATGAGTATTTTTGCACATTGTTTTTTTCCCAAGCAGTAACTGAATTTCAAGAATTAGATCCTGTGTGAAAATTACCATTATGTTTTTGAGAGAAAGCAATTTTAAGACACAATGTTTAAATTCTTTTGATTCTTAAAAAATTCACAAGGTGCCTAATTAATAATGAGAGATGCCAGTTATTGGATGCATTCAATGAACTAGGTATTGGGATTTACTCATTTAAAAAAATAACCTGGACAAAATCAAATGGATTATTCCTCTATACCATACACTGCTTCTAAATCATTCTACAAAAGAACAAAAACTCAGCACCCATAAGAATTCATACAGCTTTTTTTTTTTTTTTAAGGTTTTATTTATTTATTCTTAAGGTCACGGAGAGAGAGCCAGAGACATAGGCAGAGGGAGAAGCAGGCTCCCCGCAAGGAGCCCAATGCGGGACTAGAACACCAGGATCACGCCCTGAGTCAAAGGCAGAGGCTCAACCACTGAGTTCCCCACGAGTCCCTCATATGGCTTTTTTTTAAAGAAGAAAAATTCTTGTTATCTGATCAAATGAGTCATAGGGTTATTAAAATGCCACTGATTAAATGGGAACCATGAGTCCTCTTATATTCTTGGAAGGCTTGCAGAATCTTTAGGAAAGCATATTAACTTTAATGCAGTTTCCTCAAGGTCACAAATGTTGTAGTTTACACGTGTCAATGATTAAATAACTCTTTTATTTTTTTTAAGATTTTATTTATTTGGGGCAGCCCGGGTGGCCCAGCGGTTTAGCGCCGCCTTCAGCCCAGGGCATGATCCTGGAGACCCAGTATCGAGTCCCATGTCGGGTTCCCTGCGTGGAGCCTGCTTCTCCCTCTGCCTGTGTCTCTGCCTCTGTGTGTGTGTGTGTGTGTGTGTGTGTGTGTGTGTGTGTCTCTCAAGAATAAATAAATAAAATCTTTAAAGAAAAAAGATTTTATTTACAGAGAGTGAGCAAGCACAGATGGAGGGGCAGAGAGAGACTCTCAAGCAGACTGCATGGAGCTTGACTCGGGGACCCTGTGACCCTGAGATCACGGTCTGAGCCAAAATCAAGGGTTGGCTGCTGATGAAATAACTCTTAAGTGCAGGTATTAGGTGCATTTATATTTACCTATAGTTAAGCACTTGAACATGCAAGTCATGGAATCCTTTCTCTTTATCCTCTCCTCCTCCATCTTCAGAAAGTGCTTCCAAGAATGGAAGGTAAAAAACAGGAAAGAAGACTGAAGACATCTGGTGTCCAACAGAGTATACAAATGGTTATTTATATGGTTGACCTGAACTGAGATGAAATTAGCTTCCATAACAACGTGTTGTTCCTTGTCCCCATTCTTCCTCTTGGATTTGTAGGAAGAGACCTTCACGCCAAAACATAAAGAAGAGCCTGTTGCCCCTTGCAAAATTTAGTTTCTTTTTCTCATACCTAGCTAAAATGAACACTTAAAAATGATTACTTATTTATTTATTTGACAGAGGAAGACCACAAGCAGGGGAAGCAGCAGGCAGAAGGAGAGCAAGAAGCAGGGAGCCTGACTCAGGGCTCCATCCCAGGACCCTGGGATCAGGATCTGTGCTGAAGGCCGACGCTTAACAACTGGGCCACTCAGGTGCCCCCAAAATGAACATTTTTAAGCTTTTTTTTTTTTTTTCTTTACTGTGGCAAAATATACGTGATATAAAATTCACTACTTTATTCAAGTACACAATTCAGTGGCATTAAGCACTTTTACATTGTTGTGCAACTTTTTCATCCTCCCATTTGGAAGCTCTGTACTCAGTAAACATCGATTCCTTGTTACTCCCCTCCTCTTAACCCCTGCTAACCACCCTTCTACTCTCTGTCTGCATAAACTAGTTTAGGGGTCCCCTAGAAGTGGAATCGTGCACTCTTTGTGACCGGCTTTGTTCACTTAACATAATGCCCTCCAGGTTCATCCATGTTAGGGCCTGCAATAGGATTTCCTTCCCTTCCACGGCTGAGTAACATTCTATTGCTGGCATAGATCACATTTCGTCCATTCACCTGTCGAGGGGTCCTCGGCTTGTTAACACCTTTTGACTATTGTGAATAGTGCCCCTGTGAACACTATGTGAACACCGGTGTCCTCCGTCAAGTCACCCCGCTTCCGTTTCCCTTTCTTCCCCTCTGGGCCCCTGTCCCCATCCAGGTCTGAATCCCTCCGTGTTGGGACTTGAGCCACAACAGCCTCAAGGGCTGATGTAAAGAGAATTTTTAAAGATTTATTTATTTATGATAGAGAGAGAGAGAGGCAGAGACACAGGAGGAGGGAGAAGCAGGCTCCATGCAGGGAGCCCGACGCGGGATTGGATCCCAGGACCCCATGATCACGCCCTGGGCCAAAGGCAGATGCTCAACCTCTGAGCCGCGCAGGTGTCCCAAGAAGTTTCTTTTTTTTTTTTTTTTTAAACCCCTTTTACCTTTGCCCTTTCTCGCTCGCCTGGACTTTGGCCAGCCAGGTTTATTTATAAACCACCAAAGCTCCTTAAGAAGCCCAGCATTTCAGCCGGCCTGTCCACCGTTGTTATTGCAGGAAGGGCCAGCGAAGGGTCAGGGCTGCGCGACATGGCCAAGGGGACGGACCGGAGAGGCTCGGGGGCGCTGAGGATGCAGGCGTGCCGGACCAACAACGGCTTTGTGCACAACGAGGGCCTCCCGGCCAGCGAGCCCGAGCGGGCGCGGGACCCGGCCAGCGAGCCCGAGCGGGCGCGGGACCCGGCCAGCTCGCCGCCCTGCCCGGGGCCGGGGTCGGCGGGGCCGGGGTCGGCGGGGCCGGGGTCCGCGGGGCCGTACGCAGGCATGCCCAAGGAGGTGCTGTTCCAGTTCTCGCGCCGGGCCCGCTACCGGGCGCCCCGGGAGGCCCTCTTCTGGCTCACGGTGGCTTCGGTGCTCGCGCTCACCGGCGCCACCATCGCCATCATCGCCGTGTCGCCCCGGTGCCTGGACTGGTGGCAGGCGGGGCCCGTGTACCGGATCTACCCGAGGTCCTTCAGGGACAGCGACGCGGATGGGAACGGAGACCTGAAAGGTGGGTGCGGGCGGGCGGGGGGGGGGGTCCCGACCCAGCCCACGCGCGCGCTCAGGTTCCGCCGCTGAGCCCCCCGGGCGCCCCTGGCCGGGAGCTTCTTATTAGTGAGTAAAGAAGCATAAATAATGTTTTAGGGACCCCCGGGGGGCTCAGCGGCTCAGCCCCCGCCTTCGGCCCAGGGCGTGACCCTGGAGCCCCGGGATCGAGTCCCGCATCAGGCTCCCTGCATGGAGCCTGCTTCTCCCTCTGCCTGTGTCTCTGCCTCTCTCTCTCTCTCTGGGTCTCATGAATAAATAAAATCTTTAAAAAATAATAATAATATAAATTGAATTCAAATTAGTTCAGAAATACATGCCCATAATACTATGAATATTTTTTAAACTATCAGTTATCTCTCCTTTATGGTACTTAAAGGCTGTTGCAGTTCATATAATCTCTTAAAGCTAAAGACTATAAAGATTGGTTATATAGGGACGCCTGGGTGGCTCAGGGGTTAAGTGTCTGTCTTCCGCTCAGGGCCTGATCCTGGAAACCCGGGATCAGAGTCCCACATCGGGCTCCCTGCATGGAGCCTGCTTCTCCCTCTGCCTATGTCTCTGCCTCTCTCTCTCTCTGTGTGTGTCTCTCATGAATAATAAAATCTTTAAAAAAATAATGTTTAAAATATTAAGTATTAATTAAGTAAACTTAAAAATATTAAGTCATATCTTTAAAAGGTAGAGGCTGAGCCTTTAAAGTTTAAATCTCGAGAGATGAAGGAAAGGAAAAAAAGCATTAGCAGGGTGCATTGGACATTACTTGAACTGAGGATGATGTAACATAATACCCCCATTAGTAAAAATAAAATGAAACACAAAGTAAAAAAATTAACTTTTTAAAAGTCATGCCAATAATTTCCAAAGGAGTTCTGGGTAGAATATCCTTAGACTTTATTGCTCAAACTAGGACGCTTTGAATTTTTTTTTTTAAGGCTTTACTAAGTAATCACCACACCCAATGTAGGACTTGAACCTACGACCTTGAGATCAAGAGTAGCATGTTCCTCTGAGGAGACAGCCAGGCAGCCCCACAACTCGGTTATTTTTAGAGTGAGACAGAAAGAGGGCAGGGAGGGGCAGAGGTAAAGGGGGTGAGAGGATCTTAAGCAGGTTCCGCAACACACGGACCTTGATCACAATCCTGAGATCACGACCTGAGCTGAAATCAGGGGTCGGTCACCTAACCAACTGAGTGACCCAGGTACCTCTCCAGCCCCCGAACACTTTTAAGAGTAAAATTTTACGACAGTAAGCATAAACTGAAACTGTCCTGGACAACTTGGTTGATATGGTCACCATAGTTCAGGGTAATGATAAGAAACAAAATAACAGGGATGCCTGGGTGGCTCAGTGGTTGAACGTCTGCCTTTGGCTCAGGGCATGATCCCAGGGTCCCAGGATCGAGTCCCACTTTGGGCTCACTGCATGGATCCTGCTTCTCCCTCTGCCTATGTCTCTGCCTCTCTGTGTCTTTCATGAATAAATAAATAAAATGAAAGAAAAAAGAAATAAAATAACAAGGTAATTTTTGATAATAATACTTAGTTTGAAAAAAATAAAACAGAATGATTTAATAGGGTTTGGGACCTGGGGATGAGCTTAATCTAAAATGTTACAGATAGAATTTGAAATCTCCTACCATCCTTAATAATCCATAAAAAGCTTCTCAGGGCGTCTGGGTGGCTCAATTGGTTAAGTGTCTGACTCTTGATTTTGGTTCAGGTTGTGATCCCAGGGTTATGAGATCGAGCCCCATGTAGCATGGAGCCTGCTTAAGATTCTCTCCCTCCCTCTCTCTCTTCCTCTTCCCCAGCTTGTGCGCTCTCTTTCTCTCTCTAAAATAAATAAAATCTTAAAAAAAAATAAAAAGGCTTCTCCTTTTCACGATCATATCAGTTTCTCCTTTTTTGTATCTTCCTGCATCTTCAACAATTGATAGATCATCTGACCTTCAGGGTGCCATTGAAACCCATTTTCTGCATTAGTCTTTACTCAGCCTCCCAATCAGAGCATGCCCTGCCATCCCCAGAGCTTCCGCTGGGCTTTGGACTGTTGACGGCACCCTCTGATAACCTTGTAAGCTCCCTGGGTGACTTTCCCTTGCACACCCGCCATCCCGGCGTGGCCCCAGCACCTGCTGCCTCTATGTAGTAAATGCTTAGCAAAAGTGATGTTTTTGATAGAATAGAGCTAAATCCCTTAAACCCAAAGATAAACTCCCCACTCCCTAGCCCTCCCTTCCTAATCTCCTTCCCAATATACCCCAAATTCTCATTCACAGATTCCCATGCACAGAGCAGTATCTCATCAGCTCCTACATTGTGTGCCATTTCCAGTAACTGCCTTGAGGGGCTAGCTGTTTCCTGTCATCAAATAGATATTTGTCCTTGAGGTTGAGGGGATCTGCTTGTTATTATTCGAAGGAACCATTTCGGTTTCAGTTTCTTTTGGGTGATTGCTTTCTGTTCCCTGGAGTGGAGGCCTGGGATCCTTTGTTTGCTTTGTGTCTGTCCAGACCCTTTGTTTTTAACATCCTGTTCCTTTGAGCTTATTCTTAAGATGTATTGTTCTGATTTAAATCAAAATCCTCTTGTTGGCCATGAACACTCCTGGAGGTCCCATCCACATCTCTATGGGGGAACTGAGATACAGAGGACAAAAATAAGTGGCCTATCCCAGAGGAAGAGCCCCAATCTTGGGAGTCAGGAGGCTTTGTGCTTTGGTTTCAGTGGGCTCCAGCTTGCTGTGTGACCTGTGACAGGCTCTGATTGTAGGAAGCCACTTAGGGGGTCCCCCAGAAAGTTACTGGGGATTGAATACTAGACTCAAGTCTCTGATCTGCATTTAGGACTCAACCAAGACCACACAAAAAAACACACTATCTGCTAAATTATCCTACAAGGTTCCAAGTACAAAGAGTTTCATTCCTGTGTCTACAGCAGCCAAATCCAGAATTCTCTTCTGTATAAATTCTTGGCTTCAGCATTTTCCAAAGGAAAGAGAATGTGAACCACATAGGTAATTATACATTCTCTAGGAGCCACATTAAGGCAAATAAAAAAAAAAAAAAGAGGGGACACCTGGGTGGCTCAGCAGTTGAGCATCTGCCTTCTGCTTGGGGAGTGACCCTGAGTCCTGGGATCGAGTCCCGCATCGGGCTCCCTGCATGGAGCCTGCTTCTCCCTCTGCCTGTGTCTCTACCTCCCTCTCTGTGTCTCTCATGAATGAATGAATAAATAGATAAATTTTAAAAAAACAAGTAAAAAAAAAGGATGAGAAGTTCATTTTAATAATCATTTAATTTTAAGCATGTCTGGCTGGCTCAGTCAGTAGAGCATGCGATTCTTGATCTTGGGGTTGCCAGTTCAAGCCCATTGTTGGGTTTAGAGATTGCTTAAAAAAAAATCTTTAAAAAAATTTTTAATTTTGGGATGACTGGGTGGCTCAACAGTTAAGTGCCTTCCTTTGGTTCAGGGGACTCCCCCTGGAGTCCTGGGATCAAATCCCACATCAGGCTCCCTGCGTGGAGCCTGCTTCTCCCTCTGCCTATGTCTCTGCCTCTCTCTTTCTCATGAATAAATAAATAAAATCTTAAATTTTTAAAAAATTTTTAATTTAAAATCTCTTTTAGTCATATTCATTTTAAGTATTTTGTTTAAGCCAACATATCATTTCAACATATAATCAATATAAAAATATGAATGACATATTTTACATTATACTTTTCAGAATCCAATGAGTGTTTTGTGTTTATAGCACATCTCAATTCACACTGGTCACATTGCGAGTGCCCAATAACAGCCACAGATGGGAAGTGGCTGTCATCCTGGATAGTACAGCTTAGACCATGTGTTACTTTGTCCTTTGGCAATTAGCCCAGCACCTGGCCTAGATTAGGTGCTCAAAAACCATGTGTAGAATAAATTAATATTGTGGCCTTGGTTTTATTTTATTATTATTATTTTTTTTAAAGTAGGCTCCATGGATGTGGAGCCTAGCGGTGGGCTTGAAATCACGACTCCAAGATCAAGACCTGAGCTGAGGTCAAGAGTCTGATGCTTAACTTACTGAGCCACCCAGGTGCCCCTACAGCCTTAGTTTTAAATATAAAATATAAAAAATGCACAGATTTAAAAAAAAGATTTTATTTATTTATTCACGAGAGACACAGAGAGAGGCAGAGACATAGGCAGAGGGAAAATCAGACTCTCCGCAGGGAGCCTGATGTGGGCCTTGATTCTGAATCCTGGGATCACACCCTGAGCCAAAGGCAGACGCTCAACCACTGAGCCACCCAGGCATCCCCATAGACTTTTTTTAATGTTATACATTTACGGTAAAGGTTAGAGGTTATTTCTAGATGACCATTTGATGCTATTGTAGAACTAGACCTTTCTATTTGAATTTCACTCAAATTCAACCAAATTCTAAATATTTCTGTTTCAATAGAACTATTTCAATTTTAGGCATATTGGTTTTATTTTTAATCCTTCAACTAAAAAAAAAAAACAACCCTTTGTTTTTCATGGTCTTGACTTTTTTCTTTAGGTATTCAAGAGAAACTGGACTACATCACAACTTTAAATATAAAAACCATTTGGATTACTTCGTTTTATAAATCGTCCCTTAAAGATTTCCGATATGGTATCGAAGACTTCCGAGACATTGATCCTATTTTTGGAACAATGAAAGATTTTGAGAATCTGCTTGCAGCCATACATGATAAAGGTAAACTGAGTGGCGGAGGGATGGGAGGGATGGTGGGGTTGAGAAAAGCATTCTCCAAATGCTTACTTAAAGCATTTTTTCCTTAACTGACACGTATTATTCTAATGTAATTTCTTCCTAACATTTGAAATACTTTCACTCAATTAGGTTTAAAATTAATAATCGATTTCATACCAAACCACACCAGTGATAAACATGCTTGGTTTCAACTGAGTCGGAATCGGACAGGGAAATATACTGATTATTACATCTGGCATGACTGCACCCATGAAAATGGCACAACCATACCACCCAACAACTGGGTAAGTACCAACTTGTCTGATTTACAAAGGGAAAATAGGCAGATCTTCAGTGATTAAACTGGTTATTTATGAAGTCCTTTTAAGGAAAAACTTAATGGATATAGTTTTGAGGAGGAGGAAAGTTTCCCAAAGAAATGGAAATAAGCTACCCACCCCTCCTAACCATTTGGATTTGGACTTTTTATATCATTCTCAAACTGATATATTTTAGCAAATTATTATTATTATTTTTAAGATTTTATTTATTTATTCATGGGAGACACAGACAGAGGGGCAGAGTCCAATGTGGGACTCGATCCCTGGACCCCTGGATCACGACTTGAGCCAAAGGCAGACATTCAACCACTGAGCCACCCAGGTGTCCCTATTTTAGCAAATTAAAACGTATATTTGCTTTAAAAAAATTTATTAGAGAGAAAGCATGAGCTGGGGGAGGGGAAGAGAGAAAGGGAGAAGCAGACTCTCCACTGAGCAGGGAGGGAGCCCAACGTGGGGCTTGATCCTAAGACCCCAAGATCATGACCTGAGCCGAAGGCAGATGCTTAACTGACCAAGCCACCCAGGTGCCCCAAAAAATCATTTCTATTAACCTCTCCTTCCCTCAACTTTCCACTCTGTCCACACGGACTCCATGTCCCCTTAAGTTAGTAACTGTTTTGCTATTCTCCAGATCCCTTTGCCTTTCTGATTTTGTGACTCCCCTCCAACAGAACCCTAGCTGTAAATAAACCTGCCCATCCACGTTCTCTTTGCCTGAACTTTGGTATCCGTGCCTTTGGAGACAGTCCCCACCTGAACGGAGCCATCCAGTCTTCTTGAGGATTTTACTATCCAGGGCCCTCCCTCATTCTCAAACACCCTACCTGCCATCTCCCCATCTTATCATGCTCAGCAGCAAACTCTACTTCAAAGGGAGAGCAGAAGTCATCAAACCTGCCTCTACTTTTTCTTCTTTTTAAGATTATTTTAGAGAGAATGGGAGAGAGAGAAAACAGTGGAGAGGGCCAAAGGAAGAGGGAGAGGGAATCTCAGACTCTGCGATGAGTGCAGAGCCTAATGCCAGGCTCTATCTCACAACCCTGAGGTCACAACTTGAGCTGAAACCAAGAGTCAGATTCTCAACCCACTGCACCAGCCAGGTGTCCCAAACCTGCCTCTCCTGTAGCCACCCTCCTCCTACTCACTTCTCTTACAGCAAAGGCCAGGTTGGTCTTGACTGGGGTTTCCAGACTTACAAATAAAAATCCAGGAAGCTCAAAGAAATCTGAATTTTAGATAAACAACGCATAATTTTTTAGTATAAAGTATTGCATGGGACATACTTATACTAAAAATCTATGCGTTGTTAACCTGAAATTCAGATTTAATTGTAAGTCTTGTTTTTCTCTGGCCGCTCTGCACCCCCCCTCGCAGGCCAGTTCCTCTGCCTGCTGTGGTCCCTATCTCTCCTGCTTTCTGCAGAGCCTTTTTCACCCTGGATCCTCTGGATCTCCACCCTCCAGGCCCTCCACCTCCTTTCCTGACCTTCTCCATAAACACTTAAGAGGCAGACTCCTGGGCATCAACTTTTAGATGAACCAAGGGCACTCAAAATCGACACGTGCTAATGCTGTATGATCTTCTCCCAACCAACCTCTTAAACCCCAGGCTGATTGAATATACTAGTATGCAGCCTGGTGAACAGGTCATCAGCAATCCTGGTGGTTTGAACTCCTTAATTTTTCTTTGCCCCAGTCCACACACTTGTTAAAATGATAATGATACTAGCAAATGTTTACTAAAATGCTTACTGTGTGCCAGGTTCATGCTAAGTGTGTTATATTTGTTCATTCATTTAATCCACCCAGCAATACTAGGAGTTAGGTTTCAGTTCTTGTTTTGGGGGCAGGCAAGGTTAAGCACTGTGCCCTCAGTCACACAGCCCATAAATGAAAGGGCTAATGACCCACCACACAATCCAACTGCACAGTCTGCTTTTAAAAACCGGTGGGGGCATCACTGGTGGGTTTAGTGCCGCCTGCAGCCCGGGGTGTGATCCTGGACACCTGGGATCAAGTCCCACGTCGGGCTCCCTGCATGGAGCCTGGTTCTCCCTCTGCCTGTGTCTCTGCCTCTCTCTCTCTGAATGAATGAATGAATGAATGAATGAATAAATACATCTTAAAAAAAAAAGTCCAATGATCTTATTAAAAAAAAAAAACACCGGTGGTTCAGTTGGTTGAGTGTCACACTCTTGATTTCAGCTTGGGTGGGGACCTCAGGGTCGTGGGATCAATTTCTGTTTTGGGCTCCACACTCAAGGAGCCTACTTGTTTCTCTCCCTCTACTCCTCCTTGGACTCATTCTCTCTCTCTCTCTCTTAAATAAGTAAATAAGTAAGTAAGTTAAGTAAATAACTAACTAACTAACTAACTAAATAAATAAAATCTTAAAAAAAAATTGCCAGCCATACCTGAAACCGTATCATCTCTTGCCTATCGGACTGTAACAGCCTCCTCTTTTGGCATCCAGTTTTTTGTTTTTTTTTTTTAAGATTTTATTTATTTATTCTTGAGAGACAGAGAGAGAAAGGCAGAGACACAGGCAGAGGGAGAAGCAGGCTCCCTGAAAGGAGCCTAATGAGGGACTTGTTCCTAGGACCCTGGGATCACGCCCTGAGCCAAATGTAGATGCTCAACCACTGAGCTACCCACGTGCCCCAGCATCCAGTTTTTCCATCCTTCCATCTATTCTCCATTGTAGCCAACATTGTAGGTCTTTTTCTTTTTTAGTGTAATAGCTGATACATCCAAAAATATATGTAATACATGATTGATGTATAAACACCTTGTGTATAACCATACGATGGAATACTACTCAGCCATAAAAGGAATGAACTATTGATAATGGGCAATGCCTTGGACGAATATCAAAGTAACTATGCAGAGTGAAAGAAGTCAGACAGAAGAGCACATACTATTCCACTTACATGAAATTACAGAAAATGCACATTCGAGCAGCCTGGGTGGCTCACCTTCAGCCCAGGGCATGATCCTAGAGACCCAGGATCGAGTCCCATGTCGGGCTTCCTGCGTGGAGCCTGCTTCTCCCTCTGCCTGTGTCTCTGTGGCTCTCTCTCTCTCTCTGTGCCTCTCATGATTAAATAAATAAAATCTTAAAAAAAAGAAAGAAAATGCAAATTCATCTGTAGTGACAGGAAGCTGAATAGTTGTTTAGGGATGGGGAGGAGTGGGAGAGTAGGGTCAGGGGCCACAAAGGATGGATATGTTCACTATTTGATCATGATGAGAGTTTCACAAACATAAACAAAGGAATGTCAAAACTTATCAAATTGTACACTTAAACATGTGCAGTGTATTGTATTCAACTTCACCTGAATAAAACTGTTAGAAAATATGTGTAATATATATCTAAGTTAGGGGAGGTAATAAAACAGTGAACATCAATGAACCCATCCCCAAATTAAGAACGTGAACATTACCAACACAGCTGAAACCACCTGTGGGCTTCTCCCTATGCCTCCTCTTAGGGGTAATCACCACCTTGAATTTGGGGGTTTTCCAAGTCCTTGCTTTTGTGTTTTTTGTTTTCTGGTTTTTTTTTTTGTTTGTTTTTTTGTTTTTTTTTTGCTTTTGTTTTTCCTACATATGCTACATATTTTCTAAAGATTTATCATTTAGTTTCTCTTGTTTTGGACTCTATGATGTATCCTGCTACATGTAAATCTCCTGTAAAGAGCTTTTTCACTGTTTTTAATATTCATGTAGTTTCTGGTAGATGTGGTTTATACATTTTCTTTGTTATATTCCGCTGTGTGCATGTGCCATGATTTACCTATCCACTCTTCCACTGATGGGCAGTTGGGCTGTTTCCAGTGGTTTATTTTATTTTATTTTATTTTATTTTATTTTATTTTATTTTATTTTATTTTATTTTATTTTATTTATTTTATTAGTATTACCAATGATGCCATGGTAAACATTCTAATTAAACTATTTCTCTTGGGGTTCAGCTATTAGAGCTTCTTGAAGGTAAATAACTAGGAGTGAAATTGCTGGGTGCATGATACTGCATGTTCCACTCTGCAAGATAATACCAAAGTAATTGTACTGATTTATATCCCCTTCAGCAGTGTAAAAAAATACATATTTTCCTTAATTTATTGGTACTGCCACACTTTGTAATTTATACCAAGTGAACATAAACTGGTATCACATTGAGGTCTCAAGTTTACGTTTCTCTAATTATTAGTGACGATTGATCTAATTACTAATGATGTTGGACATTTCTCCATGCATTTATTCATTTGAGCTTACATTTCTGTGAAACATCTGTTTATGTTCAGTTTTCTTTTCGATTGTTTGTGCCTTTGAAATTGGTGGAGTTCTTTTTGTATTCTGGATACCCATCTTTTCTCCATCATATATACTGTGAATATCCCAGTTCATGTCAGGTGGGACAATGAGGTGTGCTGGTAAGGGTGTGTTTCCTTGAAAGGCAGCAGCTACCCCTTAGCTTCCGCCAGTTGTTGCCCTGGTGATGTGAACCCCACATGATGGGGGGTCTTCCAGTTAAAAAGAAAAGGATGTATGCAAAATCCCTTAGTTTCTAAATGTTGCCCAAATGTTCTCTTTAGCATGAAATGAACAAGAACCCTGAAAAACTGTTACATTGAAGAAAGCAAGTTGACTGAGAAGGAGAGAGAGGTGTGGGAGAGTCCACCAGGAAGGTGATGCTCTGCAGTCACAGATGTGAGCATTCCTAGAACGAGGAAATCCGTACCTGCGTCAAATGCTGCTTGATCCCAGCACTTGAAGTTGTTAGATTTTTATTATTATTATTCCTGAGGGCTAGAAGGGTGTTTAAGTGAATGATTCTAATACTTTTCTGAGGATAACAGTTTAAATATTCACTCTGTGTGGATTCAAACTCCCAAGACCAATGGGAGGTGTCTTTCTCCCCCAAATGACCGTCATTTGCATTACTTCACAAGCAGGAGTTCAGAGCCTGGATAGAAGGTTCCAGAAAATATAGAAGTGTCCGCTCTTTAACGTGGCCTTGAGAGCCTTGGTTTGCTGTTGTGGTTGTCATGAACAGCTTCTACTCTGCAAATATATCCCAGCCACATTTGTGTGACGTTAGGCCAGCAGATAGCATTTTAAGGAATTAACTTATCTAGTGCTCTCTCTAGAAGGAAAATTCTGAGGATCTGTGCACTCAGCCTGCACAAGGCCAGGGATGGCAATCACCATTTCCTTGTGGGCAGTGCCATTATATGAATGCTAAGTAAGGGATTTGCTGACTTGCTGTTTTCTGTTTGCTAGTTAAGTGTGTACGGAAACTCCAGCTGGCACTTTGACGAAGTACGAAACCAGTGTTATTTTCACCAGTTTTTGAGAGAACAGCCTGACTTAAATTTCTACAATCTTGATGTTCAAAAAGAAATAAAAGTGAGTATGGATCCCCACACAGACTTCTCCGATTGCATGGGTGTTTAAGTGGTTACTTGATGTACTCGATGTTGAACGATAGCTGTTCAGGCAAAACCAAAGTAATGTAATTAAACTCTGGGGTTATGGAGTCTGATACAGATAGAGGCCCTCAGACATATTGGTGGGTCCCTCCTCCCTCTCACCCAGAATGAGCGACAGGGGAACGAGGCAGAGATATCTGGTACCTTCGCTCTGTGGTGCCCCTCTGCCTGTGACAATGAGCTGATGTAGAGGGGGGCCAGAGCGTGGGCTCCAGGGTCTGAACCTGCGTCTGGACCCAGCCCCACTGCTGCCAACAGTAGGCTCCTGGGTGAGGTATTTAGCTTTTCTGTAGGTCCCTCATCTATGAAACATGCTCGATGGCACTATTTGTCTCACGGGCTGTTTGGAAGGTTAGAGGACGTAACCCATGCACAGCACTTCTGTGTCGCTCAGTAAATATTAACTCACTGTCTGCTCTGAGCCAGGTCCTCTTCTAAACACTGGGAATGGAGCAGTGAATAAAAGAAGCCCTGCTCTCAAGGCGTCTCCTGTATACTGAGGGGGAAGGCAGACAGTTAACAACTAAATACATGTCAGGTGGTCCCTAAGGGTCCCTAAGGGACATCAGAGTGCCAGGCAGAAGTTGGTTTGGAGACATCCCTGTGTTGAGGTCCTGTTTGAACAAAGACCTGAAGTTTGAAAGGGAGCCCTGTGGATATTTGGGGGAAGAGAATTTCAGGCAGAAGGAAGAGCCAATGCAAAGATCTGGAGGTGAGCGATGCGTCATGTGTTTCAGGAAGGGCCTGGAGGCGGGCGTGTACAGTTGCCAGCGAAGGCAAATAAAAATACAAGACACCAATTAAATTTTAATTTCAGATAAACAGGGGATCCCGGGTGGCTCAGTGGTTTAGTGCCTGCCTTCAGCCCAGGGCGTGATCCTGAGTCCCGGGATCGAGTCCCACGTCGGGCTCCCTGCATGGAGCCTGCTTCTCCCTCTGCCTGTGTCTCTGCCTCTCTCTCTCTCCCTCTCTCTCTGTCTCTCATGAATAAATAAATAAAATCTTAAAAAATAATAATTTCAGATAAACAATGAATAATATGCCGTTTGGGACCTACTTCTACTAAAACGTTACTCATTGGGAAGGAATACAGCCGGTGTCCTGTATTTTATCTGGCAAGCCTACCAGTGCACCAGAGTGACATGAAGGGACAGTTAGAGGCTGAGATCCAAAAAGTGGGGTGGGGGCTAATCCCACAGGGGCTACATGCTGAGCTGCTGAAGATCCCTCTGTGGCCCCTCATGGGACATTTCCTGTCTACTCTCACCATTTGGTGGTGGTTCCAATAATACCCTACACAGAACTCATGATAACCATTAGCTGGGTGGTTGTGCTGCTATGGCAACAGTGGGCAGGAATTTAGGTTAGCGGGGGTAGTGCTCTAAGGTAGGTAGTGGGGAGGAGACCTGTCCAGAACAGAGAGCCCTGGGTCCTTTTCTACAGTTTACCATGTCAGCCAAAGGACAAGGGTGCAGGCTGCCACCTCGGAGTCACTAAGGGCCCCCACTGCCCTTAGGTTTGTTCTTGTTTTAAAATAATACCTCTAGGGCACCTGGGTGGCTCAGCGGTCGAGCATCTGCCTTTGGCTCAGGGCATGATCCTGGGGTCCTGGGATCGAGTCCTGCATCGGGCTCCCCGCAGGGAGCCTGCTTCTCCCTCTGCCTGTGTCTCTGCCTCTCTCTCTGTGTCTCTCATGAATAAATAAATAAAATATTAAAAAATAAAATATCTCTATTGAGGTATAATTCACATAACCCTAAAATTCACCCCTTTCAGGTGTATAATTCAGTGGTTTTAGTATCTTCATAGGATTGTGCAATGACCACCTTGATTTCACATTTTCTTCGCCCCAAAAAGAAGCCCCATATCCAGTAGCAGACACTCTCCATGACCCTCCAAAACCTCCCACCCTGGTCACTCCCCACCCGCGCGGACATCTGCTCATCTACTTTCTGTCTCCATGGCTATATCTGTTCCGGACATTCCCTAGAAACAAAATCATACAATATCTACCTATATGTCTATGATACGTATCTATATTTATCATCTATATTTAACTATTTGAGAAACTGCCCAATTGTTTTCTGAATCAGTTGCACCATTTTCTATTCCCACTGGCAGTGTGTGAGGGCTCCAATGTCTCCATATTCTCAGTAACACTTGCTATGGTCTATATTTTTGAGTACTATCACCCTAGTCGGTGTGGGTGGGATCTCACTGTGGTTTTGCAGTTGCCTGATGGCCAGCGATGTTGAGAATCTTTGCATGTGCTTATATAGATTATTATTATATCTTTGCTGGAGAAATGTCTGAATCCTTTGCCCAGTTTAAAATTTTATCTATTTTTTTTATTTTCAGTTGCGAGTTTTTTGTATGTTCTGGATACATGATTTGCAATTTTCTCCCATTCTGTGGGTTGGCTTTTTATTTTTTAATGAAAGATTTTATTTATTTATTTGAGAGAGAGAGCGGGGGTTGGGGGAGGCACAGAAGAAGAAGCAAATGCTCTGCTGAGCCAGGACCCCGGGATCATGACCTGAGCTGAAAGTAGACGCTTAACCAACTGAGCCACACAGGTGCTCCAGTCTTTTTACTTTCTTGATGGCATCCCTCGAAGCACAAGTTTTAAATTGTCCAATTCATCTATTTCTTCCTTTGTTGTTTGTGCTTCTCATGTCATTTGAAAACCATTGCCTAACCCAAGGAAGGTGATGAAGATTTACTCCTATGTTTTCTTCTCTGAGTTTTATAGTGGTAACTCTAATATTTTAGGTTTCTGACCCATTTTTTTCCCCTTACTTTTTATATATGGTGTGAGGGGGGTCTAACTTAATTTGTGGCTGTCCAGTTATCTTAGCAATGTGTGTGTTAAAAAGATTATTCTTGGGCTGCCTAGGTGGTGCAGTCTGTTGAGAGTTAACTCTTGGTTTTGGCTCAGGTCATGATCTCAGGGTCATGGGACTGAGGTCAAGTTCTGAGCTCAGCAGGGCTTCTGCTTATCCCTCTCCCTCTGCTCCTCCTCCCTCTCCATCCCCCCCTCCCTCTCTATCTACCTCTAAATGAATGAATGAATGAATGAACATTTTTAAAAAAATAAAAAGATTCTTTCCCCATTGAACTGTCTTGGAACCCTTTTAAAAATCAATTGGCCATAAATGTCAGGATTTGTTTCTAGACTCAGTTTTGCTCTATTGCTCTATAGGTCTGTTATTGTGCTAATATCACAGTGTCTGGATTAGTGTAGTTTTGTAGGAAGTTTTGAAATTGGGAAGTGTGAGTCCTATGACTTTATTCTCCTTTAAGATTGTTTGGCTATTTTGGATACTTGTATTTCTTTCTTTCTTTCTTTCTTTCTTTCTTTCTTTCTTTCTTTCTTTCTTTCGGTGATCTGCTATTATTATTCATTGGAGTATATTTGACATACAATGTTATATTTGATTCAAGTGTAAAACATAGTGATTTGACATTTCTATACAATAACTCCGTGCTCACCATGATAAATGCAGTCACCATCTGTCACCCTTCAGGTGTTATTAGACTATTACTGACTGTATCCCTGGTGCTGCACTTTTCATCTCCATGACTTGTTTTGTAACTGAAAGTTTGTAACCCTTCATCCCCTTGATTTATTTTGCTCATCTCCCCATCTACTTCTCTGGTAACCACCAGTTTGTTTCCTATATTTAAAAGTCTGTTTTGTTTGTTTGTTTTGCTTTTTAGATTCCACATTATAAATGAAGTCAAATGGTGTTTATCTTTCACTGTCTGACCTATTTCACTTAACATGATACCCTCTAGGTCCATCTATAAGCATACAATTGGCAAATCACATTTTTAAAGATTTTATTTATTTATTTATTTGAGAGAGAGAGAGAGAGCAGGAGCACAGGTGAGGGGCAAAGGGAGAGGGAGAAACAGATTCCCTGCTGAGGAGAGAGCCTGATGGGAGATTCCATCCTAGGACTCCGGGATGGTGACCAGAGCTGAAGGGTGACACTTAACTGACTGAGCCACTCAGGCACCTTCCTTTTTTTTTTTTTTTTTTTAAAGAAGTTCACATAATTTTTTTATGGTTGAGTTATAGTCCATTGTGTGTGTGTGTGTGTGTGTACACCACATCTTTATCAATTTATCTCTCGATGGGCACTTGGGCTGCTTTCTTATCTTGGCTATTGTAGATAATGTTACAGTAAACATAGGAGTGCATGTGTCTTTTTGATAGTGCTTTCGTTTTCTTTGGGTAAATATCCAGTAGTGGAGTTACTGGATAGTATACATTCCATAAGAATTTAGGACCAGCTTGTCAAGTTCTGCAAAGAAGCCTGCTGCTGAGATTTTTTTTTTTAAAGATTTTATTTATTCATGAGAGACACACAAAGAGAGGCAGAGACACAGGCAGAGGGAGAAGCAGGCTCCATGCAGGGAGCCTGATGTGGGACTTGATCCTGAGACTCCAGGATAACGCCCTGGGCCAAAGGCAGAGCTAAACCACTGAGCCACCTAGGGATCCCCTGAGATTTGAGTAGAGATTGCATTGAATCTGAGCATCAGTTTGGAGAGGAGTATTGCCACTTTAAGAAGTCTTCTGCTCCAGGAACACAGGGTGTCTTTCCACTTGTTTAGGTCTTTTATTTCTTTCAATGTTGTTTTGTAATTTTCAGTGTACAAGTCTTGCATTTCTTTTGTTAAATATATTTCTGTAGCCTCCTTAGTTTTAAGGCTGTTTTTACTATACATGTTTGATGTTTCCCAGAATTTAGATGAATTGCTTTGGGATCTGTTCTAGAATCAGGGCAGCCTTATCTCATTGGGGTTGGGAAGATGGGGGTGGTGAAGGGTGGTAGACACAGCTACTAACTAGGGGTTAGTTTTAAACATCTTTGGTGGCGGTGGACTCTTCTCCATCACCAAAGATCA